TGTATAGGCGGTGTGTGTGTGTCGTACCGTGTCCGGTTGTAGGGTCGCTCCGTGTCCGGTTGTATAGGCGGTGTCGCTCCGTGTCCGGTTGTAGGGTCGCACCGTGTCCGGTTGTATAGGCGGTGTGTGTGGTAGGATTGCACCGTGTCCGGTTGTATAGGCGGTTGTATAGGCGGTGTGTGTGGTAGGATTGCACCGTGTCCGGTTGTATAGGCGCTGTGTGCGGTAGGGTCGCACCGTGTCCGGTTGTATAGGCGGTGTGTGTGGTAGGATTGCACCGTGTCCGGTTGTATAGGCGGTGTGTGCGGTAGGGTCGCTCCGTGTCCGGTTGTATAGGCGGTGTGTGTGGTAGGATTGTACCGTGTCCGGTTGTATAGGCGGTGTGTGTGGTAGGATTGTACCGTGTCCGGTTGTATAGGCGGTGTGTGTGGTAGGGTTGCACCGTGTCCGGTTGTATGGCGGCGGTGTGTGCGGTAGGATTGCACCGTGTCCGGTTGTATAGGGCGTGTGTGTGCGGTAGGATTGCACCGTGTCCGGTTGTATAGGCGGTGTGTGTGCGGTAGGATTGCACCGTGTCCGGTTGTATAGGAGGGTGTGTGTGGTAGGATTGCACCGTGTCCGGTTGTATAGGCGGGTGTGTGCGGTAGGATTGCACCGTGTCCGGTTGTATAGGAGGTGTGTGTGGTAGGATTGCACCGTGTCCGGTTGTATAGGCCATCTATGGGAATATCATTGACGTGAACGTTGTCGCGGTGGCAGAGTCGCGGTGTTGGAGCAGATTCTTGGCACGGTGTAATGTGTGGCCTGGTTCCTCCGTCAGTGACAGCTGTGTACCCCCCACTCACCCTCTCCCCTGTTCCCATGTAACTCGATTGCCCCAGCCGTCTCCGCCGTGTCTACGTAAGCTGTGCTGACTCAGCAGACAGATGGCAGACCTGCAGACCATTCCATTGTTCCTCCCGCAGACCGTCACTCCGCCTGTGCAGGATTGCTCTCGTCCTTCGTACGGTGACGCCGGTGACGCCGCGCTCTGACAATAACCGACACATTATTCTGGAAGATGTTGGAATAATTTATTGGGTTGTGTAGATTCCCTCATCGCCCATCTGCCCTCCCGGCTCATACAATGGAGACGGCTCCTCTTCCAGTCATTTCCACCATCCCCAGTTCTTCTCCTCGATACCCCATCCCCCGCCCTTCTCCTCCCCTGTCCAACCACCCCGTTGTGTCCTTCCCCATCGCCCACGCCACCACCCGCCCTATTGCCTTGGCCACCTCTCCTCTTGCCCCAGGACATGCCAGGCAATAAAGGGCCGGGTCGGCTACGCAGTTCAGGGTGGCCATGGCCAGCGCAGCATGGTAGGCCGGGAACAGCCTTTCCTCCAGTGCACAGCTTTTACCCGCCGCTCCGGCATCTCCTCCAACAAGGAACACCACACTCCGCAGGAGGAGCAGCACGTAATAGGGCCCATAACACAGGAGGGCCACACAAGGAAGACCCAGCGCCAGTCTACGCACCCTCCTCTTCTCCCTTCGTTCACACGACGCGCTGTCCTTCAGAGCCCGCAGCAATCCGGCATAGCAGAGCAGCATTATCCCCCAGGGCAATAAAAACCCGGCTAATACCCTCCCCACATTGGCCAGGGCATCTGCCGTTCCGGAGAGGGGGTAGCTCTCGTAGCAGAACGTGTGGTTATAGCGGTCCCGGGTGATGGCGTCGCTGAACAAGGGCGGAGTATTAGCGGCCAGTTCTACGACCCAGACCAGTGCGGAGACGGCAGCGGCCGAACGGATGGTCCTGGCGCCAGGAAAGCGCAGCGGATGTGCCACCGCTAGGTATCGGTCCGCAGAGACGCAGGACAGGAAGGCAGCCCCCACATACAGGTTGGTGTAGAAGACAAATCCAAAAAGTCGGCAGGCCCCCGGGCCGTAGCCCCACACGTCCCGCCGCAGATAATAGTCTGTCCACGGGGGAAGGGCACAAATGAGGAGGAGGTCAGACAGGCTGAGGTTCAGCAGATACACTCCTAGTTCTTTACCTTGACGGACCTGAAGCCAGGCTGCCCACAGCGCCAACAGATTGGCTGGAAGACCCACCACAAAAACCACGGCGTAGAGGGATGGAGGAAGGACGCCGTCCAGATCCGAGTCCACATTGCAGGCGTCCGGGGTGGTGTTAGACATGATGAACCGAAGGGAAGGCACCAGATGACAACCACTTGTGTCCATTCACTTGGCCGTTGTACACCGCTCTTCTCCTTCCTGCCCCTTGGGGGGCGCTCTGTGCTTTATGGGGGCTCATTTATAGGGTCTGTCCTCCATCACTCCTCAGGGGTGTACCGTCTCCGTGTCTGTGAAAAGGGAATATCAGAGGATGAGAATCCACATACAGACTGAAAGGAGGAGGCTGAACTCTGTCTATACCGACCAGCAGGAGCCTTCTTTAGGATCCATTCTACAGAGGGAAAGGGTAGCAGGCAAGATGGTCAGCTACAAGGGGCAGGCTGAGGGAAGGTAGATAGGAAGCAGTGTTGGGTACTCTGTGAGACGAGCAACGACCTCAGGGGCAGATGGTTGGGGAGCAGTGGTGGGTACTCTGTGAGACGAGCAACGACCTCAGGGGCAGATGGTTGGGGAGCAGTGGTGGGTACTCTGTGAGACGAGCAACGGCCTCAGGGACAGATGGTTGGAGAGCAGTGGTGGGTACACTGTGAGACGAGCAACGACCTCAGGGGCAGATGGTTGGGGAGCAGTGGTGGGTACACTGTGAGACGAGCAACGACCTCAGGGGCAGATGGTTGGGGAGCAGTGGTGGGTACACTGTGAGACGAGCAACGACCTCAGGGGCAGATGGTTGGGGAGCAGTGGTGGGTACTCTGTGAGACGAGCAACGACCTCAGGGGCAGATGGTTGGGGAGCAGTGGTGGGTACTCTGTGAGACGAGCAACGACCTCAGGGGCAGGTGGTTGGGGAGCAGTGGTGGGTACTCTGTGAGACGAGCAAAGACCTCAGGGGCAGATGGTTGGGGAGCAGTGGTGGGTACACTGTGAGACGAGCAACGACCTCAGGGGCAGATGGTTGGGGAGCAGTGGCGGGTACTCTGTGAGACGAGCAACGACCTCAGGGGCAGATGGTTGGGGAGCAGTGGTGGGTACTCTGTGAGACGAGCAACGACCTCAGGGGCAGATGGTTGGGGGAGCATGGAGCATGTGAACATGGAGGAGGGAATCTATTGACCTCTCTAGCCCTCGATGGTGGCATTGCACATACCGGGGTCATGGCCAGGAGACAATAAATCCGCTCAGTGATAGAGGAAGAAGAGGATCTGTGACTAGAAACAACGTGATCCTCAGTATCTGACCTCAGCTATCCTAGAATGGAGACATCAGGCAACCTCCCTAGTGGGGCCCCCTTCCCATCAGGCAACCTCCCTAGTGGGGCCCCCTTCCCATCAGGCAACCTCCCTAGTGGGGCCCCCTTCCCATCAGGCAACCTCCCTAGTGGGGCCCCCTTCCCATCAGGCAACAACCCTAGCAGGGCCCTCTTCCCATCAGGCAACCTCCCTAGCAGGCCCTGTTCCTAGGGCCCCAGAGCAGCTGCACAGGCTGTTAGGTCTATATCTGATCTGATGGGTCTCAGCCTGGTGGTGGCATCTGATGTCACCATTGTGGGACCATCTCTCATAGAAGTATGAAATGCCGGGATGTATTCGAGGATCCTCCTCAGGATATCACAACGTGTCTTCAATATTGGAAAGTTTGTTGTTTCTTCTATCCGGGATCTAAACACTGACTTCCATCTAGTCCCCATCTCACCAGTGCAGGCGCGGCCGTCCTACACTGCTGTGGACTCGCTGTAGATCCCGCGTGTAGATCCCGCGTGTAGATCCCGTGTGTAGATCCCCGGAGGTGACCTATACAGGTTACTCACTATTTGAAATTTTCAGAATTCATATGAAAGTCCCGAGATACAAGAATTCAGATTTGTGGAGTGTAACGTCTCAGATATTCCACCCAACCACACATGGGATGGACTGCCATCATACTCTACACCAGGGTTTCCCAACCAGGGTTCCAGGGAATCCTAGGGTTCCGTGAGAGATCCTCAGGGGTTCCTTCACTGCCCACTTTTCAGTGCATTCCTACCTGCCCAACAGTGGCTTCACTTACCCGACCACAAGCAGCCACTGCAACCGATTGGTGTTCACCAAATGGTCCATTCCATTTTAGTACTCCAGTACCACCTGATGGATGGTGTCAGCCCAGTACCACCTGATGGATGGATGTCAGCCCAGTACCACCTGATGGATGGGTGTCAGCCCAGTACCACCTGATGGATGGGTGTCAGCCCAGTACCACCCGGCGGATGGGCGTCAGCCCAGTACCACCTGATGGATGGTGTCAGCCCAGTACCACCTAAAGGATGGATGTCAGCCCAGTACCACCTGATGGATGGTGTCAGCCCAGTACCACCTAAAGGATGGATGTCAGCCCAGTACCACCCGATGGATGGGCGTCAGCCCAGTACCACCCGGCGGATGGGCGTCAGCCCAGTACCACCCGGCGGATGGGCGTCAGCCCAGTACCACCCGGCGGATGGGCGTCAGCCCAGTACCACCCGACGGATGGGCGTCAGCCCAGTACCACCCGACGGATGGGCGTCAGCCCAGTACCACCTGGTATATGGGTGTCAGCCCAGTACCACCCGATGGATGGGTGTCAGCCCAGTACCACCCGATGGATGGTGTCAGCCCAGTACCACCCGATGGATGGTGTCAGCCCAGTACCACACCCGATGGATGGGTGTCAGCCCAGTACCACCCGATGGATGGTGTCAGCCCAGTACCACCCGATGGATGGTGTCAGCCCAGTACCACCCGATGGATGGTGTCAGCCCAGTACCACCCGATGGATGGTGTCAGCCCAGTACCACCCGATGGATGGTGTCAGCCCAGTACCACCCGATGGATGGGTGTCAGCCCAGTACCACCCGATGGATGGTGTCAGCCCAGTACCACCCGATGGATGGTGTCAGCCCCAGTACCACCCGATGGATGGTGTCAGCCCAGTACCACCCGATGGATGGGTGTCAGCCCAGTGGTACCTTTGTGAGCAGCATGGGAGGAGAGGAGCAGCTCATCTCTCACATGGAAGTAGGAGGAGAACAGGTGACAACTGGTGTACCCTCTGAGAACAGAACAGAGTTTCTCAAAATTTTCAAATGTGGAACCCCTAAAAAGTATGAAAAATCTGAAGCCCCACCCCCGGTCCAAAAGGTACAAAAACGTAAATGTTACTGAGCCGGGGACAATGGATACAACCACCTGGAGGAAAACAACTTCACATCAAAAGCCCTCCTTCACATTCGAGGTTCCCCATCACTTCAGAGCTCTCCCCATCACATCAGAATCCCCCCCTTCACATCAGAGGCCTCCCTTCAGTACATCAGAGCCCCCCTATACATGAGACCCCCCTCATCATATCAGAGCCCCTTGCCCCCTTCACCTTGGAGGTCCTCCATCACTTCAGAGGTCCCCCCCATCACATCACAGCCCCACTACACATGAGACCCCCTCATCACATCAGAGGCCCTCCTTCATATCAGAGCCCCCCGTTCCCTTCACCTTGGAGGTCCTCCATCACCTCAGAGGTCCCCCCATCACATCAGAGCCCCCTACACGAGACCCCCTCATCACATCAGAGGCCCTCCTTCATATCAGAGCCCCCTGTTCCCTTCACTTTGGAGGTCCTCCATCACTTCAGAGGTCCCCCTATCACATCAGAGTCCCCCTACACATGAGACCCCCTCATCACATCAGAGGCCCTCCTTCATATCAGAGCCCCCCGTTCCCTTCACCTTGGAGGTCCTCCATCACCTCAGAGGTCCCCCCATCACATCAGAGCCCCCTACACATGAGACCCCCTCATCACATCAGAGGCCCTCCTTCATATCAGAGCCTCCCGTTCCCTTCGTTTTGGAGGTCCTCCATCACTTCAGAGGTCCCCCTACACATGAGACCCCCTTGTCACATCAGAGGCCCTCCTTCATATCAGAGCCCCCCCCGTTCCCTTCACCTTGGAGGTCCTTCATCACCTCAGAGGTCCCCCCATCACATCAGAGTCCCCTACACATGAGACCCCCTTGTCACATTAGAGGCCCTCCATATCAGAGCCCCCGTTCCCTTCACCTTGGAGGTCCTCCATCACTTCAGAGTTCCCCCCTTCACATCAGAGCTCCCCTACACATGAGACCCCCTTGTCACATCAGAGGCCCTCCTTCATATCAGAGCCCCCTTCAACTTGAAGGTCCTCCATCACCTCAGAGGTCCCCCCATCACATCAGAGTCCCCTACACATGAGACCCCCTTGTCACATCAGAGGCCCTCCATATCAGAGCCCCCCGTTCCCTTCACCTTGGAGGTCTCCCTTCACCTTGGAGGTCCTTCATCACATCAGAGTCCCCTACACATGAGACCCCCCTCGTCACATCAGAGGCCCTCCTTCATATCAGAGCCTCCCGTTCCCTTCGTTTTGGAGGTCCTCCATCACTTCAGAGGTCCCCCTATCACATCAGAGTCCCCCTACACATGAGACCCCCTCATCACATCAGAGGCCCTCCATATCAGAGCCTCCCATTCCCTTCATCTTGGAGGTCCTTCATCACATCAGAGTCCCCTACACATGAGACCCCCTTGTCACATCAGAGGCCCTCCTTCATATCAGAGCCTCCCGTTCCCTTCGTTTTGGAGGTCCTCCATCACTTCAGAGGTCCCCCCATCACATCAGAGTCCCCTACACATGAGACCCCCTTGTCACATCAGAGGCCCTCCATATCAGAGCCCCCGTTCCCTTCACCTTGGAGGTCTCCCTTCACCTTGGAGGTCCTTCATCACCTCAGAGGTCCCCTCATCACATCAGAGTCCCCTACACATGAGACCCCCTCGTCACATCAGAGGCCCTCCTTCATATCAGAGCCCCCTTCAACTTGGAGGTCCTCCATCACCTCAGAGGTCCCCCTATCGCATCAGAGCCCCCACTATACATGATACCCTCTCATCACATCAGAGTCACCCTCATGAATTGAAGGACTCTATATATCCCATCACAAAGCCCCCCAGTCACACAGCCCCCTCACCACCCGTGGTTGTTACGGCAGCCAGCCCGCCCAATCCTTGTTTAACGCATGACGCTGA